CTCCAACAATGCAACATACAATATACTTAAGAATAGAAAGAAAAAAATAGTGCAAGAAATTCGAAAAATATTTGCGCAAGGGACACAATCTTGAAAGTAAAATGCAGAAATAAGTAAACTATTGAAATACTGTACACTGAAAAACCCCGGAAACAATGACTTTAATTAAAGGTATTATGTCAACAAATGTCACTTAACTGTGTCAGGCTAGTGGAAAGCAATACTATTAAGTTGAACCTAATATTTATTTGAACTTAATATTATTGCTTTTAACTAACCTAATACAGTTGTGTGAAATATGTTGACATAATACTACACTGAAATACTGAAACGTTGACTTTAATTAAAGGGGACCTATCATGCAAAATCCACTTTGTGATGTCTTTTATACATAAATATGTGTCCCCGGTGCGTCGGGGAACTCACGCAGCGTCAGAAAATAAAACCCTCTCTCTTTTCCTCCGTACCCAAATCTTTTAAAAACGGGTGTACAACGAGCGGATACAGATTTGCGGCCGATCTGACGTCAAATCGGAAAGTTGCTATCAGAAACCATGCCTGACGTGTTTTGGACGTAATCTCGTCTTTGTTTACATTAGCAAGCCTCGCTAACACTCAGATCTAACCTGTACTGGAGAGCACATGTGTAAAGAAGCAGCCTTGTGATAAACCCGCAAGAGAAAAAGCATTTGAGCTCCATACTGTTTCAGAAATAATCTTTGATGTGGTTTAGAACAGGATGGCGTTTTATCACAGCAGAATTTAACTTTATCTCCGGTAGAATTCTGATCAGGCATTAGCTCCGCCTCCTCTTTTTTTTTGTTCAAGCTAAGGACCCAAAATCCGCGTTTCTCTAACAGGGCTGCAAAAGAGGGGTATGAGCAGTATGAGGCATGGCTACAATGGGTGATCTGTTTGGTATTTTAAGCAAAAAACTTCACAGACATGTTTTGTACAGGTATGGCCCTACAATATATGTTTCCAATATAGCATAATAGGACCACTTTAAATATATTATGTCAAAGGATTACAACATATTTGGTTCCACTTAATATTATTGCTTTCAACTAACCTAATACAGTTAAGTGACATTTGTTGACATGATACATTTAATTAAAGTGGACCTATCATGCTATATTTGAAACCTGATGTACCTGATGTACTTATATGATTCTGTTTTCTTCAAGTTGTATTTTGTTGGACGAACGCACTTATTGTAAGTCGCTTTGGATAAAAGCGTCAGCTAAATGCAATGTAATGTAATTTGAATAATATATTGTAGGGCCATACCTATATAAAACATGTCTGTGAAGTTTTTTTTTCAAAATACCAAACAGATCATGCATTTTAGCCATGCCTCATTTCGCTCTATTTGCTCTATTCCAGCCCTGTCTTCACAAGGGCTGATTCTGTGGCAAATGAGCTGCAGCTGACCACGCCCCCCTGCAAAGGAGGGGGGCGAGGCACGAGCGTCATGTTACCATGCTGTTACCATGCTGTTACCATGCCACGCAACCTCTCATTCCCCTGATAGGTGGAGAGTTGCCCATATAGGCGGAGCACCCCGTTTCTGACGTCAGAACAATTTCAAATCTGGATCAGTCTGTATCAGATCCGTTGCAGCCCCGTTTTTAGAGATTTGGGTATGGAGGAAAAGAGAGAGGGTTGTGTTTTCTGATAATTGGTGAGTTCCCTGACACACCGGGGACACATATTCATGTATAAAAGACGTACAAAAGTGCATTTTGCATGATAGATCCCCTTTAAAGTCCACCTTTTAGTTTTTTCAGTGCACGTCACTATGCATAGTTAATCAAAAACGTTGCATAGTAATACAAATAAATATGTTAATGCATGAATAAATATGTATGTATGTATTATATGAGCGTAGCTTGCTTATGGTCTGTTGACACTTTGCCACAGCAGCATTGGGGTGAAGCCCCTCGATGTGATTGTTGTCATTTCTGGTTTATTTCCCCGTCCGGAGTGGACCCCCCCAGCATCAAAGCTTCCAGCTGCTGCCCCGGGATGATATACTGCCCTGAGACCCTGCTCACCTGCACTCACTGCGTGTGAGTGGCTACTGTATCTTTTCAATAGACATTCAAAATGATATGGCCATAACAGATGCAGGTCATGAATCAAAGGTCTTAAACCACCCAGCTAGCTGATGCGTTCCACAGGTGCTACTGTCCCATCATGCACACACAACACTGAGGCTGCACATAGAAACACACTCAGAGAGGAAGCCCCCCCGCTCTGCTGCCTGCTGTGTCCTCTCTACCTGCCGCAGATCTACATCTGAGCCTCGCATGGACCACCACTGCTCCTGCCTTGTGTGAACTGAGCTTGTGAACGCGTTGACCCCATCAAATAAGAGAGGAAAAGAAAATGGGAGCAAAAATGCTGCACAGCATATCAAAGCATAACTCGTGTACCCTTTTACTGAGCCCAACTCAAATTAAAAAAGCATAAAAGTGCTCGAAAAAAATGGATCACACATGTTTCGAATATGCTGAATTTTAATTGATGGTAAATTGTGTTTTTGTATACGCCGGACTACGCATTGAAGTGGTTAGAGGTGTTTTATTAATGGACATAACATCAGGGGAGGAGAAAAATAATTGATAGCATTTGTGGTTGTTTTCAGGGGTTTCGGTTTGATAGGTGAACCAGTTTGATAGGTGAACCAGTTTGATAGGTGAACCAGTTTGATAGGTGAACCAGTTTGATAGGTGAACCAGTTCCCTCAGCTGAACTGGAGGTGGCACCTGTGATGCTGTTAAGTTCATGAACTCAATGCAAGATACATCAGAGGGACAATAAGCGGCACACATGTACCAAAAATATAAAATCATGTAATATTTCACAAGTACCTGTCTGTGGTTTTTGGAGACCCTCAATCAGTGATTCCCTCTGGCTGATCTCTAAGTGTTGCAAAATTGTTTTAAACCAGGAGCCTCAAGGTCCCAGGTTCCAGTCCAGCTGGGGAAATGTGTTGCATCCCTCTCTGCTGTCTGAAGGGACAAACCATTTGTACATAATAATTGAATTCATTAAAAAGTAAGACCCCAAATCAAATCCAGGGGTCTTTGTGTGGAGTTGAGTTTTGATCAGTTTAACCAACAAGTTCATTTAAGAGGCTGAAAAGGCAAAAGTACTGTGGTAAACAAGAAATAGAGAATAAATAAAGTGTTCTATTTTCTTTTCTTTCATTATTACTTGATTTCAGTTTCACATAAGTATGTTTGCAATTTGATATATACAATTTGTACTCCAACCACATCCCTCAACCATCCTACTAGACAAAATTATGAAATATTATTTTACATTCTTGAGGAAATGATGGGTCAGTCAGTTTAGAAGTTGACTTACTACCTCAGAATTTGGAATATGTGAGCAATAATTGTGGACTTCTGGTACAATCTCTTCTAGTAGTACATTTTCATCTGGCTTTTGTTTTTCCAAACCAAACAGCACTAGTATACACATACTGTATGTACCATACATATAGTACATATGTGTATCTATATATCACACAGCTATAGATATACTATATATATATATATATATAACTTTTATATGTGCATATGCAGCATTTTCGCAGGAACTTCATTCTAGAAACACTGTTATAGTGTTTAACTGTTAAACCAGAAGTTTGTGATTTTGAATAAGCAGTGTATCAAATAACTGTTGATAGGTTTGTGTGGTGGATATAAACTTTGTTTGTTTTGCTCTCCGATGTGATCCAAGGTGCTGGATGTGATGTGTCTCTGCTGCTGAGTTTGAACAGCTGCTGAAGTGCAGCTCCCCGCTCCCCGCTGCTCTGCCAGTAAAGGACCACCGTACTGCTGCTGCCTCCCTCTGCTCTGGATGGGAGAAACAGAATCTCATCTGGGAAGTGGAACACCCTCGTTGAAAGCCCACCAAGGCCTGTTCCCAGTAACCCAGAGACGCCTGCTGGCACGGCATGAAACACATAGCTCGTAAGGGATTGGACCTGAGCTTTACTGCCTGGGCTCCTTACCCAATTAGAGCGGCTTGTGGAGGCAAAGCAAAATAGGGTGAAGTTTTTACAATGCCACAGGGGTCTGTAGAATGGATAGGCTCTGTGTTTGAGCATGGGGTCGGGGGCCGGGTGGGCTGGGGATCAGCTATTCCCAAATCTCTTTCATCACGGCCTGTCAGAGGAACCACACAGGTACGGAGCAGCTCCCCGGCCTCCAAAAGGAAAACTAACATTTCAATCAATTTGTGTACCCTGTCCTTTGAGCTTTACCTTCTCAAAATGTAAATCAGTAGTATATTGATGTACTCAAAGATTAGGAAATGGAGACTGATGAAAAATCACAGAACTTTATTTTCTTTCAGAGAGAATGTGATACAAAAACAGGACAAAGAAAAGATTACATGATAATAAATATCCAAGAAGTTAAAGCAAGATAAAAAAATAAATGACTCACCGTCAGAAAATGTGGTAAAATGGTCAATAAAATATATTACAACTTTGGATGATCCAAATCGACCCTGTTGCACTGCTTGTGCAAACCCCTGGACAGGTTTATGGATACATTTACACAACATTCAAAAAGTAAGAAATAATGGGTACATGTGTGAAGAAAGTGGAAATACTGTTAGCAAATGAAAGAATCGAAAGATTTGTGACACCTAAATCATGTCCATAAGATCAAACTCAACTGGTCTGTTTTTTGCTTCAATGCAGGTCTGCAACGTCCATTTCTGCTGGAGGCAGGAGAGGGCATGGAGGACCTCTGAGTCTAGGGGATTAAGGCAGCGAGAGGATCATGATGGATGTCTCTTGTGTTGCATAGAGTACATGGTAATTCAATCAACCAATGACATAACAAAAGCTCTGCAGACACACATATGAGACACACAACATGAGACAAGGATCTCGGACATGAGGAACTCCTAAAAAACATCACTGCATGAATGTTCCGTAGAGAACAGGATGTTGCAGTCTAACATTATGTCCCTAACCCTGACCCTACTGCGGGCTGTTGGTGATCGCTTTAAGAATGTCACATGTGTTCTTGGAGATGACCTCCCTCAGCTTCCGTACACGTCGCGGGCTTGAAGCGCCCACGTAGCTCTCCGGCTGAAGCACTGCCATGCCGTCGTTGGCGTTGCCCATGATGATGACCTGCCCCTCAGCGGCAGCGCCCGTGATGTTGGGGCAGGGGCAGTTCCAGTCCATGTTGAGGAAGGTGACCTCCAGAGGCTCCTTGCCAAAGAACCGGAGACCCATCTTCTCGTCCTTTAGGATCTCCTCCACGGTCACGAGGGCGTGGCCCGAGTCCGTCTCCTCCATCAGCTCTGTCATGCGGCCCAGGATGACGAAGTCGCTGCGGCAGAAGCTCGTCACCATCTTGCCCCGTGGCTTGCAGGCCTTGCAGTGGTGGTTTTTCGGGTAGGGGCACATCTCCTCACAGGCTTCTTTGGATTCAAAGTTGTTGTTGTTGCCCTCACAGCCTCCGTAGATGAAGGACTGGCACTGCAGCAGGGTGCTGCTGTAGGCCCAGCGCGGCTCGTAGGCCTTGCAGGGGCCCTGCAGACTGGGGAGGCCGCAGGGGGCGGCCAGCTCGGGGCCGCAGCACTGCATACACTCCTCGTACGTCTCCAACATCTTCCTGGGCTGCGGGCTGTTGCTGCCGTGGCAGTGGGTGAAGGAGAAGCAGTTGTTGGTCTTGGACTCATAGTACCAGCTGACTCTCTCCATCTCGCTCCCACAATCCTCGGGGTTATCAGCCGGTTTCAGACACTCTTCAGACAGGCAGCGGGTTACGTTCCCTGGGTCAGGGGTCTTGGGTGGCTCTATGGGCCGGACAGAGAGCGGGTGGCTGACCTTCACAGATCCAGAGGGGTTCTGAGCGGTGCAGATGTAGACGCCTGAATCCTGCGGCTGCGTGTTGTGGATGACCAGCTGCCCGATGTTGGTGACCACCATGTTCCCGCGCACGTGATTGGGCCTCATGGCCACCCTCTCCAGCCCCTCCGGCAGCTGCTTCTCCCAGCTGATCTCAGGTCGGGGGCGGCCTGTCACGTCACACAGGAAGCTGGCGGTGTCGCCCACTTTGACGGTCTGGTGAACCGGGCTGCTGACAACCATGGGAGTCTGAGGCTCGGTGGGAGGGGGGGGGGTCACCGGAAGAGCAGCAGTGGTTGGGGGCAGAGTGGTGGCCTGGGGCAGCGAGGGGCTGGTGTTGGGCCAGGTGAGGTGGAAGCGGCAGGTGACCACAGCCAGGCTGATGCCCTTGGAGCACGCCTCTGCGTCCATGTAGCACTTGTTGTAGTAGGTCATGCCGTCAGAGGCACAGGTGAAGTGTGGTTCCCTCTCGCAGCGGTCCCGGCACTTACACACCGGCTGGCCATCCCAGATGTCGCACTCAGAGCCCTGCTGGTTGCACATGAAGCTGGCGCAGGAGGCCTCCTTGGGCATTCCCATGGGGCCTTTCTTCCCGTCCAGATAACGGGCTGCCACACAACTCCGGTTCCCGCAAACATTCTGGCAACACTTTTCAAAGGATTCACACTCCTGTAAGAGGAGAAGAGAGTTGGAGATGAAGGGAAGTATTTGGAATGTATTTGGAATGTATTGGAAAATATTTGGAAAGTATTTGGAAAGTATTGTTAAAGTATTTTTAAAGCATTTCTACAATGAAACATTTAAAATAAAAATAAAAACTCATTACAGTTGAGAGCAGAAATTAAAACAGAAAATTTAAATAGTACTTATAATACAAAAAAGTGTTAGAGTTAATTCTAAAATGTAACTTTAATGTCTTTACCTGATCAGATACACACTCTCGGGTGCAGGTGCTCATGGCATCCACCCACAGATTAGGGTTCATGTCATTGGGGCAGATCCCCGGGTGTGAGTAGGTGGTATGCGGCAGAACTCCGACATTGACACACCACACTGACACACACACCAGGAACCAGATCCAGCGAGGAAACAGCATCCACCACATCTCCAGAGCGGGACACAGCTCCGTCAGCGCGGAACAGTTTTTAGTTAAAGGTTTCTGTGATCCAGCAGTAAACAACCCCACGTCTTTGATTATAAAAGTTAGTGAAAATTATGGCAGAAGTCAAGAGCGCATCACACGTGTGTGAGTCTGCGAGGCAGGACGCCGTGTGTCAGCTGATCCGGTTTGGAGATGCTCTATTTATTCTAACGATCTGCAGCCATCGCCGCTAACATGACTCGCATCATGACAGATATGAGTTGCTCCTGAGATGTTGGAAGAAGCTTTACAGTGGTGCGCTTTGGGCTGGCGCTGGCGGGGCACCTGCCTGTTAAAAGGATTGCCGGGAACCCCGTTTAACCCCTTGCGCGCTCCAGCGCCATTGTGCGTAAAGACGCACGGAGAGAAGAGACTCACAGGCAAACTGTTGCTTATAAAACATACACAGGCTATTATTTGACGATAGCACGAATTAAAACTAAGGATGTTTAAATCTAACCGTGATTCTGGGAGTAAACACACGAAAGAAAGACAGCATGTGTTTTATCATTTGAGTAATTGTTGTGTAAATGACACTTAACTTTAGTTTGAATATGAACTATTTTGTCATTATATTATTTTCCCGTTTAATAAAAGCCTCGAAAACATTACTCCTGTTTTCAACCATATCGATTAAAAAGAATAGGCCTATACATTCAGTCTTCTTTACATTTTTAAATATGAATTATTAAACAGATTATCCAAAGCAAAGTGTATTCAACCATCAAGATACAAACTTCAAAAGAAGAATCCTAAAAGTACACGGGATTTCAATAGTGATACTGCATTAACATCCAATAAGTCAAACATTTCTAAGTGCTACGAAGTATTTTTTTATTATTGCTACAACTAAATCCGTTTCAGAGGTTTGTGCATTTAACCAGATATGCACAAATATTCTGTCTAAATTTGATCTCTTCTATTGGACACAAAAGTTGATACATGTTGATACATGTACTTTCTATTCCAGACTAAATATAAGAAGATATGCTTAGCAAACATTGGAAGGTATTACCAATATCCTGCACATTATTATGTTTTGTCAAACTCTTTTACAACTATAATTCATCTTACAAACTGAGGAATTAACAATTGCACAGGTTTAACAAAATAATATAAAGTGAAATCATTTCAAATGAATACCTATTTATACTTATACTCCTCAGTTTATAGTTCATTACCTTAGATAGTTTAGGGGCAAACACACTAGAATGTAAATAAATCTAACTGCATGCATTTAGAGGAAAACTGTTGAAAAAAATACTGACACATTTAAGGATAACATGTTGATGTTCCTGTAACACTGTAATCATTTTAGTGTGTGGGTAATCCATAGCTCTTCTTAATGCTTATTCAACTGGTAGTACTAGGTTAAGGTTTGAATAACTGTGTATTGAAAGTAATACATCAATAACACATCAACAGTTTATTATAAATATACTATTGCAAACACATATTTATAACCTTGTATTTAACACATTGTTATGGAGTGTTTCCTGTCTAAACATGTGACGAGTGCTACAGTACGTGACTGCTGCTGCACAAACACTTCCATTCTTAACCAACTTTCAGCCGTGTACCTAAACCTTACAGCAGCCTATACATGCTCCACATTCTACAAAGCATGTCTTTGTAATCAGGATTATTTATGTCAATACAACCACTTTGCATGGATTTACAGAAATCTCAAGAAGAACAAATTCCCCAAAGACTGGACGGACTGGCAGACAGCATTGCATCGACAAAACTTACTTGAAGCATTATAAAACAGTCCCAAGGTTTAATTTGCGAACTGGCTTCATTGTGGACTTAAAATAGCAAACTCAACCTTGAGTACACCCCTATTCAAATGTGTCTGGTAGGCCAGCAGAGGTGAGGTGAGGACAATACCAGTTAAAACAACGTTAAGATCTGTTGATGTTCTCCAAAGTGGGCGTGTGCGGAGGCAGAGCATTTAATGAATGAAGGTGTAATTATAATTCCTTTCCTGTGTAAACCTCTCCTTTGGTTGCCTCCACAGTTCAGCTGAGGACAGAGGAGTTATTAGTCTGCCTTCCAGTGCAATAACAGCGGGCTCATGCTGTGGATTTGTGCTCATGAAGTGTTTCTGCGGGACATTGTTTGTTCTCAACGGTGATTTCTGTGTGTGTGCATGACCAGCAATAAATAAAACCTGTTTATCTGAAGCCTGCAGAGTTTCCAGTCTCAATCCTGTAAGAAGGATTACATTTGCTATTTTCCCCTGCCCATGACAAACAACTGCACACATATGATTAACTATATCAGCTTATTTCAACAGCTGTACTGTATGGCCGGGTCTTTCCTGTGATTTAACACCCAACATTCTTCGAGTTCTGTTTTCTGGTCTTTTCCTGAACAATCCAGCTAACAAAAGTCCTTATTAACATATACACGTTTCATAAGGTACATTTGAAGGGTTTAATAAAAATATAAATATATCACATCTCCAGACAGGAAGAAGCTGGCTCACCTCACATCACCTGTCATGCACAAACTCTTTGTACGGAGGAGAAATGAATAAACTTGTCAAAGCAGTGAAGATGGATACATCTTGGGGCTACAAATATGTAAGAAATGATTTCTTCCCTCAGGAAAGCGTCAATAGGAACCCTGAAGAGCACAACATCGTCCAAAGGCCCACCCTCAGACAAGGGGTTATTTGAGGATTCGAGCTTCAAAAAAATAAACCGCCTGGAGAAATTTTCATATTAGATTCTTATGCAATTTGGTGAAAAATAAAAGCCCACACCAGTCAATTAAGACAAAGTATAAGGTGTATAAGACAATCACAACAGCTCCAAAAGTGTAGCTTAATTGCTGGATAATCAGCTTACTACAAGTAAGCTAATTATCAAGCAATTAAGCTACACTTTTGGAGCTGTTTTACCATACTGTACCAGCTTATATATCAAATATATAACTAGGCCAACAGACCAATGGACTAAAAGTGTCAGGGAGATGCATTCAGGCCAGGAAAATAAGCTAAATGACCTCAAAGAGACGCTACACACAAATTATATAATAACAAAGAGACATAAAAAAGGAAATATGCTAAATCACTACAAACAGTCTCAAATCACAAAGACACGTGGGAGATCCCCACAACAACAGTTTTCCTCTAATGTAGGAGACATGGTGCAGCATTTTGCTAGTGCCCTCTGACTCATAATCCGCCTATGGTACCATGTAGTGTGCATTTATGTAATGATTGGTTTAGTTTGGTTGTTTTCTGTGTCAATTACAATCTACATATACACAAAGTCACTCCAACATTATACTTAGACATGCAATATATTGATAACATATGCATAAGCATGGCAGAGGAAAAAACACTAAAAGAAAAACGTATTGTTAGAAATGTATTGATGTAGATTTCATTATTTTCTTGCCAGAAGTTACATGACAAGATCAAAACCATTCAGATAAATACCAAACTACAGCATGCAGCCAGTTAGCTTAGCTTAGCATTTAGCCTGAAAGCAAATGTAACAATGGAATGTAGGCCTATACCGTGTAAGCTGGCTTTAAGCTCGACAGACATGAGAGTGGTATACATCTTCTCATAGAAAGCAAACAACTTCCAATTAAGTCCTTAATAATTATAATGTCTTGTACTCTAATGTTGTAAACAAAAACTCAAAAATATAAGGCAAGGCAATTTTATTTATATAGCACTTTTCAGCACGTGGCGATTCAAAGTGCTTTACAAAATAAAAACAAAAGACATTTAAGAACAAATACAGCATAAATGCATTATTAAATGGCATTTCAAAACAGGAATAAAAAGCAAAGATGATGAAATAAAATAAATACATAAACACAGCAGGTACAGAATACATACAAGCATGGACAAGTTTTTCTAAATCCTGTTGCGACATTTGTTTTTTAATCTTTGATATATTCTTCAGGTGGTAGTATGCAGACCTAATAACTGTTGTAATGTGACTGTTAAAATTCAGGTCTGAGTCCATCACTACACCCAGATGTCTTGCTTTGTGAGTTACTTTGTAGTCTGCCGACTGAAGCTCTGCGATTACTTTTAATCGGTCCTTCTTTGCTCCAAAAACAATGATCTCAGTTTTTTGTTTGTTCAATTGGAGAAAGTTCTGAGTCATCCAGTCAGTGAGGTGCTCAATGCACTTGCTCAGTGTTCTAATCGGAGAATAGTCTCCCGGTGTAATTTTAAAATAAATCTGGGTGTCGTCTGCATAGATGTGATAGCGTAGATCGCTCTTTTTAATAATTTCAGCCAGAGGTAGCATATAAATATTAAAAAGCAAAGGTCCTAAGATGGAGCCTTGAGGAACCCCGCATGACATATTTATCAGGGTTGAATTGTAATTGCCTGTTGAGACAAAGTTTGTTCTGTCCTTCAAGTAGGAGCTAAACCAGTTTAGAGCTGTTGCTGAAACTCCCACCCAGTTTTCAAGACGGTCTAGCAATATGTTGTGGTCAACAGTATCAAAGGCAGCGCTGAGATCTAATAATATTAACACTGATATTCTGGCACTGTCTGTGTTTAAATTAATGTCATTTAAGACCTTAACAAGTGAAGTCTCAGTGCTGTGGTTAGGTCGAAAGCCCGACTGAAACACATATAAGGTACCATTTAATTTGTTCTGTAACAAATGAGACAATTGCCTTGCTTGTGAGTTTTCTTATCTAGGCCTACCTCACAAGAAACCTCATTTATTATATATATAAAATATGGCAAGATCAAAAGATGGTTAAAAAACACTTGTTATTTTCAAAATTAAATATATGATAGATCTTCATTAAGTTTAGACGAGAAGAATTGCTAACATTTGAAGCTACAGCTAGCGGCTGCTAACAATTAGGGAGATATGTAACCATGATATTACCAAATGTAACACAAAAGGGATTAAACAAACAGACAAAGAAAAACATGTTTAAGCTGGAGTGCAGGAATTCTACACATGAAT